CGACCTACGGCCAACACTGTGAATTTCACTCTATTTCAGCAAATAATATAGGGAGTGCATTATCTCGTGAATTATTTATTTTGAAAGCATTATATCGTGAGCTTTGTCATATATATATATATATATATATTTTGTCGAGTTAGGTGTGGATTAAATTATGTCGGGCGAAACTTAGGTCAGATCATCCCTAATTTCGATCCAGTTCACGGTATAGTTGGAGCTTGTGCGATTAGGACATCAAAGATATATACAAGACCTAAAGGAAAGAAAGAAAGAAAGAAAAACCAATTGTCTCCTATGTGTAAAATTTTGGTGGAAAGAAAATAAAGAGTTAGGTGTAAGAGATAAACGAGGGCAGCTTGGGTAGCTCGAAGCTTTATTGAGCACAAGATATATTAAGGCAACTAAAGGAATAAAGAAGAAACATGGCAGCATGTGAAGTGATTAGCTGCCCCAAGACATAGACAAATGAAGAAGAGAGCTTTTACCCAGAACAAAAAAATCGCATATACACAGGCAATTTATATACACGCATCTATGTTGAGTAATTATATCTTTGTTGCAAATTCAAAGGGATTTCCAGTTTTCAAGAAAACTAAGGTCCATCAAACAATTGAAGCATGAACAGACAGCATATTTATCTGCAACAGTGGCTGTTTATGAAGAGAGCTACAAGGTATAGCTAATGGCCAAGCAAGATGGGGGAGTATCTGATGAGAAAAATAAAAAAGGAAAGCGACGAAACAGGCAGACTCAACGGTTTTCAGAAGGCAGCTGGGGTGGGCCATTACACTACTGCTCTAGTACTAGTGTGGAGTTCATACAAGAGAAAGTAAACAACACATTAAAACAATTAATCTTTAAAACTGTAGAAGCATAATAGCATTATATGAAATTTTGTGTATTAGTGAATGAATCTTATAGCTTACTTTAGTTTTCCCTAGAGTCTGGGGCATGACAGATGTTGCAGAAATCGTCAAATCCTCAATGGAATGGGATAGCAGTAGTTGATGGAGACCCATCCATTTGATGCTTTTCCTTATGCAGTAGCAGCAGCTTAAGAGCAAAAGTATAATGCAATAAGATAACGGCCAACTGGACTATATGGTTGGGGGGGGGGTGAGGAGAGTGGTCCTAACCCTCTGTGTCTATATTACATATATAAGCTGCAACCCAACAGTTGCAACTCTAAATAAAATTTTACCAGACAGTAATAACAAAAAAAAAAAAAGTAGTGGTAGTACTTACAACACTGATTAACATTAATTTTATTGACTGTAAAGAAACAAAAGAAGATGGTGGCGCATGAAGCATGAGGACCTTTCATCTGAATAAATGATAAAAGAGAGTGGAAGAGAGAGGTCCCCCCATTTTAGGGTTTTTTGTTTTTTTGAAATAGGCTGGCTAATGCTTTAGCTTTAAAAAGAGCAGGCTAAGTAAGCAGTGAGAGAATCACATCCCCTTTCTTCTCTGATTATCAGCTTAACTCATGAGATTTCCTCGTAAGTTATCGGTAAGCGTTACTTACTACCTGTTTCTGTATGTATGTATGTAATGTATGTATGTATAAGAGATGGTGTATTGGTGTTCATATGCAAAGTGTTCAGGGAGATCATATGAATGCAGTGTACTGTTTTGACATTTTTTGAGACAGCTGGCAACTGCTGATATAAGAGTACTTTGCTGTGTTTGCTTTTGCAGTTTCCTTACTCATAGATGTATATATCCTCCTTTAGATTGCCTGCTTCCTCTATCATCATGTGCCTCAATCTATACCCAGTCTCCAGTTTGTTTTTTTCTGCATTTTTTGTTACAAACATACCATACAAATTTCATATAAAATAAATTGTACTATCATCAGAGATGAAATACATGTGTATATAAACAAATAATTAGGTCAAATGTCAAATTGAGGGAAAGGTTAATTCCAATATTTTATCTTTATTTGGGTTTTTCCTTTTTTTCTTTAGAGTCTAGTGATTAAAATGTAGTATTTGTTTAAAATATATCTTAACTATTTACAACATATATTTTATAGACTTATATGCTCGAACCTGATTTTTTTTAAAAAAATATTATTTTTTATCACTAAAATTGCTCAATAATTTTTTAAATAGTTTATCTTGATTCAGAAATAAACCTACTAGGTAAAGTGTCATGATGAACTTGTTAACCCATTGCCTGTGAGATATTTGTTGGCCAGTATCTGTATTTTAAAATGTATTTAATTAGAGTTTAGTTTATTACCAATAAATCTTGAAATTATAGATATCTAAAATTGATTGCTTCTCAAAATGGTACAGAAGAGTGGGGCTAAGTGTCTGGTTGCTACAGTGAAAAACTGGCATGCCAAGTCAAAAACTGCGGGCAGCCAGCCTTTAAACTTACACAAATACAGCAAATCAATTATTCATTTATCTAAACAAAAAAACTATAAACTGTGTTGTAGTAGGTTGATCTATATAAATTTATGGTCGGATCTTCTCGATTCTAATTTAAAAATTGAAAATTCTCATTTAATTTTGATTCATTTTAACATTTGGTGATGTTTCACTTATCTTGAGTTTTGAGTAAAAGTTGGTCTGCAGTTTAACCTAACATTAATATTTTTAAAAAAAAAATTATTCTGTATTTATCCCTAATATCTCAAATTAGGTTTGGTTAAATATTTTTTTACTTTAAATTTGATCATGCTCCAACCCGATTCTCTCATTCATAAAATGGTAGAAATTAAGCATTTTAGTTGCAATTAAGTGAAGAGGTGAGAGTCTTACAGATCGCTGGTTCTCAAAGGTCTTCAATTACCAGACAGGGGAACAGAATATTCTGTCCTATAACCATCCACAAATTTTGACATTGCTACACCCATTTATCTTTTTTTTTTTTGGATAAATGAAACTAGATACTATTGAATTTTAAGTAATGTATCATTTATATCATTAAATTTTAAATTAGTTCAATTATAATATTCAGTTTTAATTTTAACTTCAATAATATCAATGGACCGTTAAATTTTATCAGACACGATGATATAGACTAGTGACGGAGCCACAACTTGTTGAGGGCGGGCACATGACTATCCTGAAATCTGAATTTTTTTTATTATACTTATTTTACTAATGGTGTCCACTATGAAATTTTATTTACGTACACCCATTAACAAAATTTGTATTATTAACATATGTGCGCACACCCTAAAAAAAAATTCTGGATATGCCACTAAATGATGTTTTTTAGACACTGAACTTTAGAGATATATTGAGTTTGCCACCAAATTTTAAAAAGATATAAATTTTATGCACTCAACTTTTCAGATTGCTGCTGGTAGCTACTCGTTGCCCATCAGTGATTTTCATTTGTATCAAGATCGATATCAAAATGTCACATATCACTCCTTTTTCTTCTTATCGTATTGATTTTTCATAAAACTCACACAAAATCGATGAAATCTATCTAAAGATTCGACGTGCTAATACTTCAATCTCCTCCTATAGTCGTCTGGTAAGGCTAGTTTTGAGGTATATTGTTCGTTTTCTCGAAATAATATTTCTTATCATTCAAATTTTCGAACAAATACCCCAAACCCTTCAAAATAGAGAAAAGCTTTTTGTTTAATTTCATTAATTTTAGATATTTCGTGGAAAATCAATCCTAGGAGAATAAAGAATAGTGAAATACAAACGTTTTAATGGTGATCTTACTACGAAAGTCTATGTGTGTTGGATGACGATTCATTGCCGGTGGTGGCTGGAAAAGAACAGTGACTAAAAAATGAACTATTTAAAAGTATAGTGATAAAATCGATACATCTCTAAAGTTTAACGTTTAAAACAACATCATTTTAAGCATCAATAGCTGCAACGGTCCAATAATTTAACTGAAATCAAAATCAAAGTTTAGAGATATAATTAAAACAATTAAAATTTTAATAGCATAATCGCATTAAGTTTAATAGTACGTGGTCTACCCTTATTTTTAATAGGATTCGTTCATTGTGTACGTATCTAGATAAATAAAAATTTATTATTATCGTTTACTACATTATCGTTATGAAATTCAAAAACATATATTAATAAAAACATGTTATTAACTGATAATTTCAATAACAAAAATTGTAAAGTTTGATATATTAACTAAGTCAAGCACTTCATCTATCCTTTTGGCTTAAGAAGCTACGTACTTTAATACCTATCTATAGTCCATGTATTAATAGCATTCACCAAAGTTTAATTTAACATTAATCACCCAAAGTACCAAGTTGCAATATGATCCAAATCTTATTATTATTATTATTTTCAATTCAAGTAATTAATCCACTTGTCGTCTTAATCGAAGACAAAGACCGTTAAAAAAACATCAGTAATTTTTGGTTCTTTTTGCAGGACCAGCACACAATGAATGACCGAAAGTCAAAACTTATCGAAACCTAACTAAAGAAATGCTGGGTTAAGTTAAAAGTAAACAAAATTTAGGGTAAAGCATGTTGAATGTGAAATTACGTTGCTAGGCTTTTATCTTAACAAAGCATGGTTTTGAGAGTTGAACAACTGGAGAGAGTAATGTAAATAATTCCATGTAAAGGACAAGCTCCCATACATATTTATTCCCCCCACCTTCTGATATATTTACCTAAAATATCAATTCATGTACTTTCTTATTTATAAGACGAGTAATGAATTTAAAAATATTTTTAAAATATATATATTAATCATAAAAAAATTATTATACAGATAAATATGAATAAAATTTCAGGATGAATTTCAAGATGAACACTTATTTACCTTCACGTCTCATAGATCTTACCCTACACATGGTTTAATGTTAATTAAAATTATTGATTTAATTTGCAGATGCCGTTTCGGGAAATGTGCATAAACCATCATGCTTAATTCTTGAATGTGTTAAATTAGGAGTAAGATTTTTTTATAATCATATTGTATTTCTTTAGGTATGATTATGCTTCATGATTATTCAACGTGATTATATTGGCACAAAAAGAAGCCTAATTCCTCCACTTTCTCCTTTCATTTTCTGCTTTCTCTCTAAGCCAAATGCTTAGGTCAACAACGAGAAACAACTCTTCCCTGCTGATTCTCCCATGGCTATAATTTGTCTTCTTTAGGGTTTTCTTTTTCCAGATCCAAGAAGAAGGCACCGACCCTCAGTCGGTTTTTGTACTTAGGGACCTGTCTCTTGCTCCCTTCGCTCCTCAAAGATCTAGAACAAACAAAATCATAGTTACCCAGAAAACCGGTATTTGCAAACTCAGGTCTAGTTTTTAGTTTTATTTCATATGCTCCAACCTTTTTTTCCTTCTATTTTCCCATCAATCTTATACTTGAAGTAAAATTTGGTGGTGGAGGTATGAACTTTGTGCAAAAGTACTCTAATTATCGAGATCAGTGAAGATGACGAGGAAATCTTAAGAGAATTTCCCATCAACTTGGATTCTTTTGAAGATTTTTGCTATCGATTTCGGACAAGAAACTAGAGAGGTGATGGAGTTGTCACTGGGGAGCAGTAGTATTGAAGAATCGAATACTGCAAGTAGGTCTATTGAGAAAGAATATATGTTCGATAAAGTCGTCACGCCCAGCGATGTAGGCAAGCTGAACCGCCTTGTTATACCGAAGCAGCACGCCGAGAGGTACTTCCCCCTCGACTCTTCATCGAACGAGAAAGAGCTGTTATTGAATTTCGAGGACAGGAACGGCAAGTCGTGGCGGTTCCGGTACTCGTACTGGAATAGCAGCCAGAGTTATGTGATGACCAAAGGGTGGAGCCGTTTCGTCAAGGAAAAGAAGCTCGATGCCGGTGATATCGTGTCGTTCCAGCGCGGCGTCGGGGACTCGGAGAAAGACCGGTTGTACATTGATTGGAGGCGAAGGCCTAATGTGCCTGATCCCGCAACGTTTGCACATTTTCAGCCGCAGAATCAGTTCAACTTCCCTCAATCGGTCGGCCGGTGGGGTGGAATCTACTCGCTTCCACAAAGCTACGAGCCTTTGCATCGGTTGAATTACAGCATATATCCTTATAATCATCACCATCATCAACAACAACAGCTACTGCAACAGCAGCAAGCAGTTACTTATGGCAATGTAGCGCAGTACCATCTAAGGTCATCATATGGATCATATCATCATCATCAAATTCGGGCAGTGCAAGAAGGGAGAAGAGATCCAATGGTGATCGATTCAATACCAGTTGTTCAGGGCAATACAACAGCGGCTAAAAGGCTAAGGCTCTTTGGAGTGAACATGGAGTGCCCTACTCCTACAAATGACGAATCTTCCTCGGGGCATGATTCTCCTTATAATTTCCCTTCCTCTTCTCTCCAATCAAGACTGTCCAACAATAATATCCCATTCTCCGGAATGCAAGCTGAATATTCAAAGAAAGGAAAATCTTCCTTGTCCTTTGATTTGGATCTATGATCCATTGAAGAGAAAATCACAGTGAAAGGTTGCATTTTCATTCTTTTTTTGTTTGCTTTCCGAAAGGCACTGGATTGAGGAAAGAGGGTATTGAAAAGATGAGTTTTTTTTTTAATTTCTTTAAATATTGTTTAAGTACATGAGTTAGTTGAGGTTTGGGATATGTGAAGAGCTAAAGATGAAAGACGATGCAACACATGGAGTTGAAGATTGTGTATAACACATATACAGATTTATCAGCATATTCCCAACTTGTTATTATATAAAATATCATATTTTTCCATTACTAGGTCCTGCCCTTTCCTTACTGCATCCCCAGATTTCCCCCAGTTTGATTGGTGTATATATACACACACATATATGTATATATTATTTGTTGCTCTCTTGTTTAGTTAACTTATGATCATCTGTATATGTTCTTTCCCTTTCCCCTCCCTCCCTCCCTCATCCCTGACTGACATCATTACTTTGTGCTGCCAATGCATGGTAGCTGTTGTATGTATATTATATAATATATAAATATATATAGCTTGAAAAAAGACCTTTAGTTCCCCCCCCCCTTTTTTCTACTATTTCTTTCGTTTCTCCATGTTAATTTAATAGTGTGTATATATATATACTTGACTTGTTGCTGCTGAACATCTAAGCTGCAGGCATTGCAGCAGGTAAAGCACAGAAAAGCCGCAGCATCTGTAAAAGGTATTATCTGTATTCTTATTGATAAGTTTTTTTGAAAATTTTCCTACATATAAACCATTTGTTTTTCAAGTTAGATTTTTCCTTTACTTACTTTCTTGATAATTGGTGTACCTTCTCTCTACAGCCATGATCAGATGATCTTGTCTGGGCTGTTACACACAGAAAAGTTCTCTTGTCTATTGAGACTGGACTTCGCTCGATACTTGTAAGAATTCATATATATATATATATATATAGCTTTGTTTGAATACATTTACATATATATATATATATATATATATGTATTCGCTTCAAATATTGTCAGCGCATTTATTAAGTAGTAATCAATGCACCAACCTAATGAGTCTTTATGTATTGGTTAAATTACTTGTATGGGAACTCTATCTCTTACATAGTTTGTTACTGGTAAAGTTCCCATTTTTACATGTTCTTTCCGGTGATTTGCAGCTCCAGGTAATGCAGTTTACTAGGAAGATTAATTAAAATAGTAATATGACATTAAATATAGCTCTACAAACGCTAAAGTATAAGTTTTGGATGGATATCCATACGAGCATGCTGAATTGTTCAAAATATTGATTAATAAACATTCCGGATCAATTTCTTTCACTACTGGTTACTGAGTGATACGGCTTCAGAATTGACAAAACAGTAGTAAAGCATTAAAATGCGCTGAACTCAGCCTTGTCCTTCTGTAGTTTATTAGATGGAAAAACGCTGCTGGAATCAATGTCATTCAGATGAGTTTCCACTTTGATATACTTATTTCTAGCTTTGTTAAGGGCATCTGTTAGAGGCACTGTGTCTCAATTAGAAGTATTGATGTTTGCCTTGGCCTTAATGAGTTGTAGTTTGACAGGTTTTTGAAGCCATCTTTGATGTCCTTCAGTCATTATGAATCATGCATTATGCTATGGCCATAATTGGTAACTGGATAATTCTATATTTCTAAGATTAATAGGTCATTTGCATATAATAACCATTTTCATTTTTATGAAATACTTGTGTTCAATACTTAGATATAGATATACAATCTCAACATATCCTTCGAATATATAGAAAAACATCTAAACATATCCATATTTGGCACTTACACTCTAGTTCTAATAACATAAGTTGACATAGAATGTTGGAACAATATACACTTATATCTAAATTGGTGATAGACATACTTAGTAATTTAATAGTAATATGGAATACTCGACTTTTCATAATGCAACTGGCATTCATTATGCATGTAAATGCTAAAAAGTTTCATTTCAAGAGGGTTAAAGGCCGTTCTAATATAGTTTTGCTTAGGCCCTAAAAGGTAATCAATATTTAGGCTTATATTTATTGTTTCATTAATTTGACAGATCGAAAGGAAAGAAAAAAATACTATATATATATAGATAACTGTTTGGGTTAAATTGACATGGAAATGAAAGAAACTTCCATTTAAAAATGAGGTTAAAACAGTATTGTTTTGCGTACTCATGGCCTTTCCAGACTTCCCTAGCATTGCAGCTTCATACTGTATACATATGTACTAGAGACACAGACTGCCTTACAAAATTGCATTTCATTTGGACTTGGCTGCTAACTGTTCCAACACACAAACACACATATAAAATTTTAACAGAAGATATTTCAATGTCTTCATCGCTTTATTCTTTGTTCTGAAAGATTCCAGTTTCATTGGTATAGGAAATAAGATATAACTAGTTTGTAGAGCATGGGATATTGAATCCTTTTAATCACTGCGTTAGCTAAAAACATTCAACATGAAATCATGTGAGTTTATTGTCTAGATGGTGATTCAAACATCTGTATGTACTTGTTGTTAGCCAATTGACAAAACACAAGTTTGTAAACGTGACTACTTGAACTCGAATCATTTAAAAAGAATTATATTTTCTTTTACCATTGGTATCACTCAATGAATTCTAAATTGTATTAGGGTATATATATTAAATATATAGTATGATACTAAATAAGATAGCCAGCCAAGATGGGTGAAATTATTGTTAGAAAAGGATTAATTAATTTCACAGTCCAAAGATTCCTAGCTACCCAGAAATATAAAGAAGAAGAAGGTAATAATAATAATGGAAAATCCAGCACACCACACCCTATAAAGAGAGCTGTACATATAGGTTAGGTTTAACAGGCAGCATAATTGATGATGATAAAGATGCCGCATGCATGTGCAAGGTACGAAGAAGATAAAGAGAAGTTTCTTTCATTTCTGATTTCACTGTTCAACTTTTACTTTTACTAGCATCATTTATCTGTTCTTTATTTCTTCTTGTTTGAAGGTTAAAAATTTCTTTCCCCATTTTGATAATGTTTGAAGCTGTTGCCTGCAGGAGGTGAAAGTAAACGTCGAAACTGTGTTTTGGTGTTGTATCTGTATGCAGGTAGGTATAGGAAATTAGGAAAAGGATGGTAAGCTGAAAGGTTGCATAAATCACGTTGTTGTTTATCTTCGTTTTAATGGCATAAGTTTGATAATAATGGATATTGGAGGGGATATGTGCCTACATTCTATGCATTTGAACCTACCATTTTTTTTATACTAATAAAGATATTATTTAAATTAATACTAAATTGATATATATATATATATATATATATATATTATTAATTTAAAAGTAAAATGTTTATACTATTTATATTTAATATATTAACGATGAAGTTTGCAATAAAGTTATCTGTATTTTAATTTGCTAAATCAAATAGTTAAGAATTAAATATTTTTATAAAAGATTATTTAATTCTTAAAAGGATTCTGTTAACAGCCTCTTGAATACTCTTAAAAAGTTATTAGCTATTGCATTGAATATATTTAAATGGACTTTTATTAAAAATAATTAAATTCTTAATAATTATATTACAATATAAAATTCTAAAATATTCACCATGATTAGAAAACAAATAAAACTCAAATCTTAAGCATAAATGTCATTTTCCAACAAAATTAAACTGAAAAACCGAGACAATACGAACTAGTTCATGCAGTATTGGAAAGGATAGCTAAAGAGCAGTAAATATACGGTCAGAAACAAAACAAAAGAATATTGGTGGGACGGTAGTGCCATAATCGGATGAATTTACAACATGGGGTGACTCTATCATGCCCGCAAATGATAAGCTAATCCCTTCATTGCTACAAAAACTGGGAATTCCATGCTTCCCAAATTCCTCAACTGAAATCCATTCATCAAACAATTCCCCACATCTGTTTCTTGCGTAGCAATCTACTTCTGAAAGCTCTTCTAACCCTTCAAACACTTGATCTTCACCCAAATTTGACAACTCCTAAACAATGGATAACCAAATTTGATAGTTAAACAGACATAAAAAAAATATCAGAAAGAAGAAGAAAAAAGTACGTACTTGTCCGGAAGTGTAGCAGTGAGCTCATATTCATGCATGATCTGCAAAATTAAATAAGAAAACATTAGTAAATGGAATTGTAGAAGATGGTGTCTGAAACTAGAGTAACATGATGTAATATGAAAAAACTTGAACCAGATAATCACAGCCGAGGTTTTCGTTGTGTAGGTAGTAATGGTGGAGGGTTGGAAATCTGCTGGATGGAAATATATATATATATATATACCCTGCCATACTGATGTTTCTTTTTTCCTGCAAGTAGTAAACAAGACGCAGAGAAAGAAACAAAGGATAAAAACAATTAATATAAAGAAAGGGAGGGTACTGTCTGAATGAAATGATAAATTGATGGTCAAAACGCAAGGACGAGGAAGTGAGGTAAGAACTGGACTTTATGTAATCAGCGCTGTGAGAAAGCTCCTCCGAAACTACGTTATTTGTTGTGCCTTTGGGCCATAAGGTTCCAGTTTCAGGACTGATCAGCAACTTGGGGTGATGCTATATGCTTACGTTTTTTCTTTTGCCTTAATGTCAAAATTCAACTCTAACTTCCTTAAAAATTAATCCCTTCGACCTTATTTCTTTTATTTTAAAATATTTTAATTTTCAACGATTCATTTTAGATTTAAAATAATATATAATTAGACTAAAATTATTAATTGACTAACGACAAAGTTATCTCAGACATTTTCAGGACCCTGAGCGAAACTAAAAAATTAGGTCCTTATAGAATAAAAGTATATTCTATTATTTTGAACAATTAATTTAATATTTCACTAATAAATGTTAGAAAAATAATGAAATTAGGGTCCTAAATTATAAAATTAAAAGGTGAGATTGAAAAAAATTAGGAGTTTCAATTATGAAGGTAAAAAGTGAGATTGAAAAAAATTAAGGGCCTCACTTATAAATATAAAAAGTGTGATTGAAAAAAATTAGGGGCCTCAATTATAAATGTAAAATGTGAGATTAAAAAGAATTAGATGCCTCTATTATAAAGGTAAAAAATGAGATTACAAAAATTAAGGACCTTAATCATAAAGAGAAAATAAAATGAAAAAATTAAGAGCATCGATTATAAAAAAATAAGATTACAAAATTTGGGGCCTATAAAAAATGGAGGCCCTGAGCAACTGGTCAGAATGCTTCCCTTAATAGTTGACTCTAAAAGCTGACCCTATTCCCATATATAATGGGGTAAGAGAGAGGTAGGGTAGTAGGCTGCCCCCAACGCTAGGTTGAAAGCAACTTCCGTAGAAGACCTCCAACAATTATGAAATTGCCCACCGTAGGACTCGATCCCACGACCACAAGGTTAATAGTTGACTCTAACCAACAGTTAATATTTGTTGATGGCATGTCACTGTCATATGTCTAAAGTAATAACGTATCACATGTCACGTGTCTAAAGTGATAACATGACATGAAAATGGAGCTCATACCACGTCATCACTTTGGACACATGACATGTAGTGACATAACTTGGCGATAGAATTTAGGGGGTAACTTAAGACTTTAAAAAATTAGAGGTTTAAATTAAAATTTTCAAAATTTTTGAAAGGTTCAATTTATTTTTTTTCAAAAAAATTGGGGTATAACTAAAATTTTTGAAAATTTGAGAGGCTTAATGAGAATTTTTAAAAATTATGGGAGGGTTTAATTAAGAATATTCAAAAAATTTAAAGCTTAATCTGAATTTCTAAAAATTTTGTGGGAGCCAAAATATTTTTAAACAACTTTAAGGGACTAAATTATGACATGTGTCATGTTATTGCTTTAGACACATGACATGTATCACGTTGGTGTTTTAAACATGTATCATATGCAATGTCAACGCTTTGGATACATGACTTGATATATCAAAAGGGATTGATGAGAGCGATTGTTCTCTAAAAATTTTAAATTTACATATAATTTAGATATTTTTTGTATTTTTATTGATAATTTATTTTTGTCCCCTAGAATTTTATAACTTCATCCCGTCATTATCCCATCCATTACTCTTGTAGTATGTTGATGAGGTTTCCCGACCAGGTAGAGCCTGGAAGTGTATATGAGAAAGTGAACAATCCTAGATAAATGCAGTGGTACATAATATGTATATACATTACAATTAATCATAATTAAAATAACATGGTCTTGAAGATACTTAGGTTTTTAAACTTAACTACAGATACATCAGCTCATTGTAAGGACAAGTCTTTATAAGATCATTGTTCCTATTTCCATCACAGATGAGACACAAGCATAGCGATCTAAACCATGCGTGTCTTACCATAATGTAATGCTAGATTCACACACAACTCTAAAACTATCGAATAAACATAACTTGCCAAACAACAAATATGAACAAAATAGAGCCTACTATCACATTTCTAACATATACTGATGGTGGGTTCCGTTTGCCCCTTAGCTGGGACATCTCCACGAAATTGAAAGAATTTTTCCTACTGTTGCCAGCCGATACTTCAGATCTTGAGTTCAAGACCAATTTGGTATTCCTGTCCCGATCCATTTTAGGGCTTTTGTTGGTTTGCACAACTGATTTCTTGTTTTGGACTGGCTGAACAACAGGACTATGTATGCCACTCTCTCTGGTCTGCAAAAGGAAAGCGGGTGGAGTAAACAACAGTTAGTAGAGTTGTAAAGAAAGCTTTGTTATTTCAATCCACATTTGAAGTGGTTAAGTTTCCTTCTACTGTTTAACTAACTTACCCTGTCTCTGGACACTACTTTCCCTGAAGATTTACCCTGTAATTGGACTCTTCTTGGATACCCCTGTGCCACTGACTTGTGGGATTTTGGCTCAGGTTTGCAGGCTCTTGAGATAACTGACCTTTCCTCCTTGACCGATTCAAGACCATTGATCTCATAGGCTGTAACTGTTGCCGATTCAACCCCGGAATCCATTATCAGGATCTCATCATGATGAACACCAGTTTCCATTCGCTTCTGATTGAGTCCTTCCGAATGGCCATGGTGAGTTTCATCAGGCATATGAACTAGTTGATCACACTGTTATACAAGACACAGAGGTTATGTCAAGTTTTCCAGTGTCCAAATATGAAACTCAACAAAGATGCGAGGAAAACAAAAATAATTATACTGCCAGGACTGCAGAAAAGCAACATTGTATGACCTCTTCAACATGTCGACACAACTATAGACTTTCTAATTCCCTGGAGATTCCTAATACACCGTAGGAGAACATAATTAGAAACTCAAAACTGTAATAAAATGTGACAGTGTCAGACATTATTCAAGCAATTGTTCTCCTACAGTACTGACTCAGTTTTTAGGCCAACTCTCCAACGGTAGCTACTTAAGATAGTTTCTTTACCCATGCATTGTCCCATTTAGGGTCAGTGTCGTGTCTATTCCCAGCATAGTCTGTTGCCCTGTAATCAAGGCAATATATGTGCTCAGCCTCTACATTGGTATGTTCTTCTTGGTTACTGAAGAAAGAATCCATGAATTCCCTTTCTTCCTCAATGGTGTCGAATTGAAGTTGCCACTCATTTTGCTCTTCATCAACCAATGCATCAGGCGGTAGGAAATCCAGATCCTCAAAGGAGATGCCTTCTTCAATCATGATCTGCTCATTATTGACACTGGCTGGAGGGAGATCATGTGTGCCCCTGGATGGTGAGAGATCAGAAGCAAATATTCCCTCATCTTCCATCTGCATCTGCATCTGCAAAGCCATTTCATAATCCATACTCTCGGACTGCGGTTGACGAACCACCTAAGTATGAATCATTGATAAGCAAGCATTAATTTCTGTAAATGCTGGCTCGACACACATGAAATAAAGTTTATTTGTTACTCAGAGAAAAGGCTGATTGTAAGTCATGTTCATTCTCACCTCCATAGACGTAAACCAAACAGCATCTTTGGGGGAACTAGAAGCCGCAAAATGTGCACTTGTCTGACCGACATTTGAAATCAAGTTTTCAGTTTTCTCAGCAGCATTGTTCCTCAAGTAGCCGACCACATAACTATTATTCTAAGTAAATTGAAGGCCAAAAAAGGACCAAAATGTTAGGAATTCTCTGCTACCAGTTGTTTACCCAATTTTAACAAATTAAAGTTGCAGCTTTCTACCAATTGTACAGCGTACTAAAAGAATGCAGATTAATGCAACAAACTACAACTTTAAATCCTAATTTGGCAAGATTAACAGGAAGCAATCAGCAATCTACAGAACTATTTACATGATCTTCATCAACTTCAGTAACATTATAGGGAATTAAAGTAAACAGAACCATAAAAAGCTGGTAACAAGCCATCATATCATTCATCATATATACACATGTAAACAGAGCAAAAGCTGAGGATGGATTTGTGTATGTGATCACGAAGATTACCGCATTATGAGGAAGGAAGTCGGAATTGGCGCGGAACTCGTGCATGACCCAATCGGTTTTGACACAACTAGGGGTACGCCCCGTATAAAAAACCAAAGTCTTCTTGGTACCAATCTGCCTACCTCCATAACTCACTGGCCGATCCGCACCCGTTGATTTCCAGAACCCAGAGTTGGTTAACCTGTCCATTTTTTTCTCGGAAATCTTGTTGAGTTTGTAGAAGAACAACCACTCTGGATATGTAGACTGTACTAAAGACACGGCTGTCCTCTCAAAATGAAAAAAAAAATCAGCAACCAAAATTTTCAAGATTAAAAACAAACAGTGATAATGGGAAAATATTAGTTTACCAGGTAATTGCCAGGGCTCATACTTGAGGAGGTCGACCTCTCTGATATGGCGAGTGGTTTTATGATCACCGATCATCTTATTCTTGAGGAAGAAACTGATGATTTGTTCATCAGGTGGAAGGAATCTGAACCCAATTTCTAGGTTGATGTTCATGTTCTTGATCGATCCTACCTTATTACTGCACTACAGAAGAAAGGGGGGTGCCAGTGTCGGAAGCAGGTGAGAAAGTGGAGTGTGTGTGTGAAAGTGAGATGAATTCGAAGTGTACACTAATACAAACCAAAGCATTGACTCGCAATCTTTTATGGTCTTCGGCTTGGCTTATTTGTGTGGTCGGTTAAATAAACGATCGGTTAAAATTTTGACTAGTAATATTATATCATTTAACTAGAAATATTATCAAGTATAATAACATATTAGGTAGCGCTTATATAATGTAATAGGTAGCGTTTATATAATAAAATAAGCATTTAACCGGAAATATTATCAAGTACAATAACATATTAGGTAGCTCTTATATAATGTAATAGGTAGCGCTTATATTAATCTATTTTCGAAGTAAACCGATATATTTATACTGGTAACATTACAAATTTACATATTACATTATTATTATCGGTTACGATGTTTTTTAGATCGATACAATTTTAAATGTATCGACACTTTATGCTTGCACCTGGTTGGACATTCATATTTCATTCTGGAAAAAAGTATCGACACAAACTAACAACGTGTCGATACATTATTTAGACCTATTCTCTCATAAAACCGGTATATTTATACCGGTTACATTGAAAATTTACCTATTACATTATACTTATAGGTTTCGATGTTTTCGGGATCGATACATTTTATAAATGTATCGACACTTTATGGTTGCACCCTTCTTGGCATTCATTCTGGACCAAAAATATCGACACAAATTTATCAAGTGTCGATACTTGATGCTGACCTATTTTATCATAAAACCGGTATATTTATATCGGTTACATTGTAAATTTACCTAATACATTATAATTAGCGGTTTCGATGTTTTTGGGATCGATACTTTTAATAAATGTATCGACATTTTATGCATGCACCTCGTTTGTGCATTCATCCTGGACAATAAGTATTGACACAAATTACACAAGTGTCAATATATTATGTTGATCTGTTTTCTAATTAACCGGTATATTTATACCGGTTACATTGTTAATTTACCTATTACATTATAATTATTCTTTTTGATGTTTTTTGGGTCGATACTTGTATAAAATATATCGACACATATTTGGGTAGTTATTGTACATACCTAAATATGTACTACGAATTTAATGTTGTACCCACCCTTTAACTACCACTACCAATACCACATCCTATTGAAAGCAGCACGACTGAAACATATTCAATGAACCTTTGCTTACATCTCCATCAACTCCGGGACCACTGAACTTGCACAACAAAATTTTTACCATGGATCATACTGATGAAGACAATGTTAAGCCAACCGAGGAATGCCATGAAGTACATAATGTTGATGAATCTGACAGATTGGTTGGTCATCTCTTCTGTTCACGTGATCAAGCTTGGTACTTTTACAAGGGATTCACACGGGAACATGGGTTTAGTGCACGTAAGGGAACAACACGGCTTGACGTGGAAGGAAATGTGAAGACATAAGAATTTTGTTGTTCCAAAGAAGGGTTTCGAGCATCAAAAGTCAATATTGTTAATCGTCAACGTGTTCATACACCAGACAAGAACATGCTGTAAGGCTAGAGTCGTAGTTACAGCAACAAATACAAACGATAAGTGGGTTATAAGTAAGTCTTATCAGGAACATAATCATGCATTGTGCACACCTGCTATGACACCATTTATGCGTTCTAATAGAGCTGTAAGTAAGGCTGATATCGACGAGACAACAACATTGAAAGAGGTCGGTGTTGGCACGTCACAAGTAATGAACTATTTAACGCAGCAGGCAGGGGGCTATCATAATGTTGGATTTACACATAAAGACCTCTACAATGCACTTCAAAGAGGTAAAGCAAATGAAATCGTCGATGGGGATGTGAATGCAGTTATTGCCTACTTTGATTATAAGAAATATGATGATCTCGGGTTTTTTATGACATACTCGGTAGGCGAATCAGGGACATTATATAATCTTATTTGGTCGGATTCTACATCGAGATCGGATTACACATGCTTCGGTGATGTAATTACGTTCGACACAACGTACAAAGATAATTTGTATGGTCGACCAATTATGCCTATTGCTGGTGTCAATTATCACCATAACACAATTGTGTTTGACACTGCCATAATCGCTGACGAGACGTCTCAATCTTTTGAGTGGGTGCTACATAATTTTTTAGAAGCCATGATGAATAAATCACATATTTCAGTTGTCACCGATGGGGATAGGGCAATGCAGAGGGCTATCAAATCTGTTATCCCTTATGCTAAGCACATATTATGTTCTTGACATCTTTCTCGCAATATACAAGTTAACATTGGTGACCCAAAATTTATAGCAGCATTCTCAAAATGCATGGCTTCCTGGTGGAAAACCGAGGAATTTGATATTCAATGGCGTTCGGTTGTTTCAGAATTCAACGTCGAAAAACATCCATGTGTGATTGAGAAGGGAAATACACGACATTTATGGGCACAAGCATATCTAACCGGTCATTTTTTTGCCAATATTCGTTCAACACAAAGGTGCGAGTATATGAATGCTTCACTAGCGATTGCACTGAAACACAAGATGACATATTTAGATGTTGTTCGTGCAATTGAAGATGAAATTAGTAGAATGCGTATGAACGAGTTGAAAGCGGATTACTTAAGTTCCCATATGAAGCCCTTCCAAATCACAAAACTGTTCGACCTTGAAAGCCATGTTGCTGCGATTTTTACCCGCGAATCTTTTCGTGCGTTCCAAGATAAACTTCTACGGGAGACATTGTACCGGATTGAGGCAGAGATTCAGTCCTTATCAGATGAATGTCAACATTATATTTTATCAAAGTACAAAGAAAAAAATAGGAAATTTGAAATTAGTTTTGATTCTCGTACGAAGACCCTAATTTGCTCATGCAAAAAATTCAAGACTGTTGGACTTCTGTGTCGCCATCAACTTCACATTTTGAAGCACTTGAATTACACATATTTGCCCGAGACTTTGATTCAAAGTAGGTGGACTAATGATGCGAAGGCTTCTACAGCCAGTTATGTTGACTTGAATGTGTCTCCAGAAGTGATGCAAATGGCACGGTTCGCTGCTTTATGTTCAACGTCAAGTAGGTTATGCTACATTGCATCAAAGACAGACGAGTCTTTCAAAACCGCAAGAGATGAAATGAAAAGACTAATAGAAGAATTAGAAAACTCGTTTGGTTTGAATGATTCAGTCAACCAGAGCATTGTAGTAAACAACGTTCGTGACCTTCAACGAAAATAACGCAAGCGAAAAGAAGTACCGAAGAATAAGGTCGAGAAGATAATTAGGCAATGTGGGTACTGCAACGGTGAGGGACATAACAAACTAACATGTCCTCAAGTCAAGCTCAGTTTGAGTATAATGTAAATTATACAAAATTAACCATATATTTACAAAAATTACTCTCTTAGTCTATTTTTATTGTGGATTATGAGACCGTTTAATATTTCATCCGCATCATCACATAAATGCCAAACAATCTGTAGAGTATAGTCTCCCGCAATCATGGTCGGAATTAGTTCTGTAACTGGGATTATCCAGGTTAATCATGTTGACAGCATAATCAATAAAACCTGGGGTTTATTTACAAAGTGTCGTTACATGTTGTAGACATATTCTCTCATAAAACAAGTATATTTATACATGTTATATTACAAAATTACCTATTACATTATAATTATGGGTTTCGATGTTTTCGGTATCGACACTTTTAATAAATGTATCGACACTTTGTGTGTTCATCCTTTTTGGCATCCATTCTGAAAAAAAGTATCGACACAAATTTAACAAGTGTCGCTGCATGTTATAGACCTATTCTCTCATAAAACCGGTATATTTATACCGGTTACATTGTAAATTTACCTATTACATTATAATTATGGGTTTCGATGTTTTTGGTATCAACATTTTTTAAAAATGTATCGACACTTTATGCGTTCACCCTTTTTGGCATCCATTATGGACAAAAATTATCGACACAATATTAAGAAGTGTCGATACATATTATAGACCTATTCTCTCATAAAATCGGTATATGTATACTGGTTATATTACAAAATTACCTATTACATTATAATTATGGGTTTTGATGTTTTTGAGATCGACACTTTTAATAAATGTATCGAAACTTTATGCGTGCAACCATTTTGGATTGACACTTTATGAAAATGTATCGACACTTTGTAGGTTCACCCTTTTTGGCATCCATTCTGGACAAAAAGTATCGACACAATACTAATAAGTGTCGATAAATGTTGTAGACATATTTTTCATAAAACCGGTATATTTATACCGGTTACATTGAAAAATTACCCATTACATTATAATTATGGGTTTCGATGTTTTTTGGGTCGTTACTTTTTATATATGGATTGACACTTTATGAGAAACTTTAAGTTTGAATACATTATAGAAAACGATTATAAATATACTGATATTTCTAAGTATGAAAACTTTGTTGTGGAGATCATAGAAAACATTTCTTTAATAATGTGTTTCGATACATTTGCACGCAGATGTAAAATACATTAATAACTAGTATTGATATTTCAACAATCCCAAATGTATCTGTATACAGAAAAGCAAATATGGAATAATTAATGAAAATATACACACAATATAATCAAACCAAAAGATACATACACAACAATGTTCAAATAATGTACCGACAACGAAATTAATCCGATGAAAAAGGGTTATTTCTAACAAAGTCCGGAACATTAGGCGCCTTCAACAAATTTTCCAAATACTCTCGTATGTTTCCGCCTTTTTCTGAGGACATACATAAATAATTTAAATTATCAAACTAATGAGATGCAATTTTATTAACAATAAAATAAATTCGCATAAGCATGAATAAATTTGTGTCATATCTAGAGCACTGTTGTTCGAATGGGAAGCAACGTCAAAGGTATGTGGACATATCTAATTGTATTTCTATATAAACACATAAATTGTTAAAATAATCAATGTAGGAACACCTGTTTAA